AAGAACAAGATAGATGCCTTGGAAGTCCAGATTGGGAAAGAAAGCTTCTTGATTTTGGCAAGTCCGAGGAAAAGAAAGGGACGACCGGAGTCAAGAAGCGTACCCTTGTTCCGAGCAGCAGCTGGAATCCACAGGGAGACGGCTGATAGAATGATGCACCGGAGAAGGGGGCGACGAACTGCACATGGCAGCAGCATTCCGGCGGCTTCCCTTCTCTCCCCGCCCCCCCAGGAGCTCACCCGTCCCCTTTCTCTTTCCATCACTGACACGAGCGTTAAATATTCTGGAGGCGTGGGGTTAGTTAAGCGATCAGTGCGGGATGTCACATAGGAGACACACCAGCAACGGAGGGGCTACGGCGAGTGACTGCCGAGACATGGAACCCATTAAAGCCATGGAAAGCGAAGGGCTACGGTAATTACAGTGCAGCTCACGAGTGTGAGTTGGAGATTCTTTTGAGAGAAGTGGGGACGAGAGACGGAATACAAAATGAGGCGAACGGTGATGATGACGACGCGAGTGGTTTGTCCTCTTCTTTGGTTCTCGGCCGAGACCCAGCAGAGAGACAGACCACAAGAGAGAGCGAGAGAGAGGATGATATGAATGTGGAGCTTTTGGTTTGGAGATCACGGGAGGCGAAGGTGTAATCGCGTAGAAATGATGCGACGACGACGGTCTAAAAATATTATATTATATTTATTATATATATATATATATTATTCCTTTCATATTTACACTAATCAAGTGTTCAAATGTAGAAAATTTCTGTATGTTCATCCTATATGTGATTGGTATTAATTTAACTAAATTAATATATATTTTTTATAGTTAATCCGTGCTCGATTGGCGATCGAGTTCAATGAACTTGAGTTGGTCATGAGGCAAATCAACTGGAAATTATTCTGATGATGGATCCATGAGTAGGTCAAGTGGCAAATCATAGACCGACAAGAAGAAAAGAAAGGATACTAAAGTGCTTTTGTAATCCAATATATTAAAAGTGTGTATCACTCGTCCAACGAGAAGTAATGTCATGAAATTATTTTTTGTAATAAATAATTGACGTAAAATTTACATGGTTCGATATTTATTATCTAATCAAATAACAATAATAAAATTATCTAATTTCCAATAAATTTCTTTTCATACCTGAATTAATTAACCTCAAATTGATGGTGTTCTTCGAGCTATCTGAATCCTATCAGGTCTTCAAAAATACTGACCAACTCTAACACTAGTATATTTATTTAACATCGAGGAAGAATATTTACATGATTTATTGCTAACATCTTTGTGGATGCTACAGGCAGCATACACTTATTGCTTGATCAACAACCCAAAACAAAAACAATACAGCTATTATAAATAGCTACAAAAGCTTAGATCATCACACACACTCTCAAGAAGATTAGCATGATATTTTGTCAAGAATAAAAATAAAAATGGGTAAAAAGGAAGAAGAGAAGACAATGCCACAGGATAGATTACTTCGGTGGTGGTGGTATGTAGCATGAATGAACTGTTTTGGGTCTCATGTAACATTCATCCTGTATAGACAAGCACCTCACTTTCTCCATCCTCGTCTGCGAGCTCTGTTCTTGTCCATTTTGTGCGAACAGTGATAACTATGAGGGCGCAGGTCTGAGAGAAGAGGCCACAAATCAGACCCATCCATAGCCCCTGCAATAGATAGAAAGCCATCGTCGATACTTGTTGTGCTTGGTTACCATGTTGTTTTGCAGGAGAGGAGATGCTCACCTTAGCTTGGAAACCCAATTTGTAGCCGAAAAGAAGTGCCAATGGCATGCCGATCACATAAAACGCCACTAGATTAGTCAGTGCCGCCAGGTGCTGCCAGCCGCAGCCTCTGGAGACTCCTGCAAATCCCATCGATCACATAAGTTCTTGGATAAGTGCTAGATTTGCCATCTAAATGTTTTAGTACCTGATAGGACTCCCTGAGCTGAGTCCAGGAGAATGGATACTGTGAGCAGGGGAGTCATGTAGGCATATGCCTTTATGATCTCCTGGCTGTTGCTGAAAAAGCTTGCCCATAGATCATGGCCAAAAGCCAGCAGAAGAACCACCGTCACCTCGAGAAACACAGCCAGCTTCAGTGTCATTGACACCGCATTCTTGGCCTTCTCTACGTTTCGAGCACCGATCTCATTCGACACGCGTGTGCTGCGCAGCAGATTCACAGTTCAATTTACAGACTTCGAATGGGAATTTTAGAGACTCTGGCTCTGAAATGAGAAGCGAAAAAGGGTATGCGATTCACCTCACAGCCGCACTGAATCCATATGTGACATTGAACGCAATTGCTTCTGTGTTCACGCTGGAAAAGCGGGGAGCTTAGACATGTTTTGATCCAACTGCGAACCATAACAGGGGGTTTAAAGAGGTGATGAAATCATACCACATCGCGACCAGTGAGGTACTCAGTTCCGAGTTCTGTAGGAGCCCTGCGAGCAAGACCAAGATCTCGAACGCCCAGTACTCGAGGCTGAAACAACGGAGATCACACAAAGAAAAAGGATTATGCACGGATGACTCTCCTCAGCCCAAAGAGTTGGAAGTCACCGAGTACTAACCACACCATCACAGCCGAGGGAATAGCCAACTTCATGCAGGGAATTATATGGTGAAAGGCTTCTGCAGAAAACCCTTCCCAAGTGTGTCTGAACTTTTTGGAGCAGCTCACGTAGATTGCCAACATTATAAAGGATATCCACAGTGATATGGAAGCAGAGAGCGACGTGCCCACAAACCCAAGGCCGAAGACATGGACTGTAGCGTATGTCAACCCGACATGGACGAAGAGTGGAACCACTGAGCACACGACCAGAGGGATCACCACTGTCTGCGTCTGCAGAAACCTCAACATGCACTGCAGGGAGCCGAATGCAAAGACGCCCGGAATGAGATACTTGAGATAAAGAGCCGCCATTTTCGACACCTCGGGCTCTTGGTGCAGCCAGATCAATACGGGTTCTGAGTAGTACCACAGCAGGGAGACGAAGATGGAGAAGAAGGTGGATATGATGATGGATGATTGCAAGTATAGCCCGAGCATTCGGTACAGCTTTGCGCCGTATCCTTGACCGCAGAGCGTCTCGAGAGCCCCACTCAAGCCAGTCTGAGAGAGGAAGTGGCATTAGGGCGAGCACAAGGGGCATCTTTAGTTGAGGCCAAACGTTGCTGCATGGATAGGAGTGCGGTGACGTACCATGAGGGCTAACCCAGAGACAGTACCCCAGGAGTTGCCGAGAGTGGAGCCGGCGAGCTCGACGTCGCCGAGATGGCCGGCGAACATGACGGAGATGAGGGTGATGGCGTAGTAGGACACGTTGGTGAGGATCATGGGGAAGGCGAAGAAGAGCTGAGCCCTGGCCTCAGACACGTCGATGAGCCGCGTCCACCATGCCCGTCCCTTCTCCTTGCCACGCAGCAAGGGAAGCATTGAAGCCATGGCTCCAAGTGAGAAGACTGCAGCGCTGGAGACGAGGCCATGAAGAAGAAGACTTATAGGTCAGGAATCGAATAATCCGATATTTTCTTGGCAATTCTTGGGGATTTTTCGTGGTTTCGATGGCACCACGTGATTTGCTCGACACTGGTGATAAAGTGGAGGAGAAGACGGTCGAGAATGGCATCGGCCCTGTCGATCCCAACGTCTAGTCCGACCACGTGCGGTGCATGGGCGAGCTACTGCGCGAGGGATTCACCTCTCCAGCCATGAACGACCTCCCACTGTTCCTAATTAAGGCGTCACTTTATATCTTTATCTCTCTTGCACGACTCATCTGACCGATGGTTCGCCGCTTCCCTACCACTGCATTGATTGCACTGAGCTGCAATCTCTCTCTCTCTGACAATTTTTTTGACTGTTGGTTTCTTTGTCATCCGGAGCCATGTGAAAAGGCATGGGAGAGAGATTGATGTAGTTGTCCTCGAGATGTGAGAAGAGGCTCGCTCACAAAGGCTCCTTCAACCAGTCCAACTTAATAATGATCTCAAGAAAGTTTTGACGCATCCAACTGGTGCTACTGATACTGACGAGGGAATGCGGGATTCAAAATACAAAACATTAGAAATATCCTACCTACGTCACTCCCACACAAACAAAACTTGACCTGTGGGATTCAGATTAACGCCATCTCATCCATACCAAGAGTTCATTAAGCAACATGAATCCTGACAACACCCATTTCATGCGGAGTCTGGTAGGTGGTGGCTTAAAGTGAGAGTGACCACCTTTATCTCATGTCAAAGCCCCTCTCATATGCATCTATCGCAATTATTTGGCCAACTCTCCCTCTTTCACTCCTTTTATCTCTTCAAAACCCCCCAAACCTCAATTGTCCACTGTTATATGTTATCAATGCATGATTTAGCCGTGAGAATCTGAGAGAGAGAGAAGAATTGATCGGACTTTATAATTGGACTAAATATGGTCTAAGTCCTGCCTGATCTATTGACATCGCTATATAGGATGAGATCCCAAAAAAATCTTCCACTAATCGGGAATATTTGATCAAGGCACCTAAAGAACACAAATAAGTCCAACCATGAGCAGATGGAATGATTGGCACACCATACCACATGTTAATTATTGATGTCGTAGATGCCCTTTCAAGAATACTCCCTTCACTTTATATCACCTGCCAAGATGTGGTCTCCTCAATGCTCAAGTCATTTCAAAATCTCATGCAATAGTCCAAAATAAAATTTTTGATCATGAACAGAACATAAGAAGCTCTATAAATATTTATTTATAGAGGAATGATAAAAAATATTCTAAAGAATATTTTCCTCTCCAACTTTAGGTATAACATGGATAATGATATGGATTGGTGGGAACTATTCACCGTATCAGTAACGCTATCGATAATATAAGAAAAATGATTTGCCTAATATAGGAATGCATGAAATTGCGGCAAAAGTTGAGTGTGATCAGCACAAACATCTGACATATGTCTAAAATCTCATTTTAAACATCGAATTAGAATTCATATGAACTGTATGAATGTAAATATTCTTCTCTCCAAGTACCAAAGAGAAACATTATATCATAGATAGAAGCAACTTTACATTGTATATCTTCCAAAACCATCATCCTCATCCTTCTCATTCACAACTTGCTTGGCAGCTTCTCCTTAATGACGTGTGTTAGATCCTCAAGCCCTGAATGCTTCTTGGCAAGGAATTTGGAGAAACGAGATCCTTTGCCTTCCTGGTCGTTCTTCTCTGAGATGGACTGCTTTGATTGGGACGGGGGAGGTGCCAATGCCCAAACAGAGGAGAGGAGATCATTCGGCTCGTCCAGGACTTTTAGCATCGACCAGTCGTGTTCATCTGTGCACAAACATTTCTATTTATGAAGTGTTTCCGAAGCCACAAGCACTAAACATAAAGAAGATTTGCTAAACAGCTCTTAGACCAAGTAAGAGGTTTAATCGATAAGCCACCTGAGAACCTGAATATGGGCAACAAAGCTGCACACGGAATGCTAAAATTCAAATGTGGTATGGTTCTCCCACCCCCATGCTTGGCGTTGCTGCAAAAAGGAGAACAAGTTGGTGAGTACAAAACTGTCTTGAATATGGTTTCCTCATACACACTTCACAACCCACTATTACTGGGGAAGAGGCACCAAGAACTGGTCAACAGTGGCTTATGTTCATGCAGCATACCTCGCAGTGTAACTAGGTTTAAGAAGAATCAGCACTCTAGGGATAACTGACCATCAAAGATTTTCTCAAATTTCCTCCATACCCTTGTTGAGTTCATGTTTTGAGTAGTAGTAAAAAAGATTCTCACTAGAACTGTGATAGCAAAGAAGGTAAATATGGCAGATACACAACTGTGGATAACAAGATTTCATAAAGATGCAATTTGAGCACTCATCAGTCCAGCAAAACATTAATATATTTTTGCACTCGCTCTTCCAGGTCATGTTTCTTGTGCAAAGAAGTCTTAGTGTAGCTGAGAAGACAAAGTACCTTGTTATTAGACCAATCATATGGCCATCTGAATCAACCACAGCACCACCACTAGCTCCTGGATGGACTGCAGCGGTTGTTTGAAGCATCACTGGTACACTTCTTTTCTCAGTTTCCACTACGCCAGATTTTTCAATGTGGAGAGGCTCTGGAACTCTAACAACATGTGATACAATTCCAGTGGAAACTGATGGCCAGATGCCTGCAAAAAGAAAAAGGACAAATAGACAATAAAAGTTATTGATGCCACAGAAGAATAAAGTGTACCACAAAAATCTAACCAATATGTTCAAAGAAAACATAGGTGATCTAATTGCTTCTCACCGGATCGAGGTCCAAGAAGACCATGCCCAATAACATGCACGGGTAGACCAATAGATGGGCAATGAAATTCAGGATTGATGGGACAAAGTTGACATGGAACATGATCAAGCTGCAACAGTGCAACATCGATTGGTCCATTTGAGACATAAACCACACTAGCATCACACCAAAACTGGCATTCCATGTTGTCCAGACGAACCGAGATTTTCCTATAGTTTTTGTGGCTTCGATTGAGCAGTGAAGCATCATGGGCAATATCCCCATAGGCACTAGAGCTTCCCGATGCTGACAAAAAAAATCTCTGCCTCTTGTCTTCACTTATTTTTTCCTCTTGCTCAGAGAAACTAACACTACATTCAACAGAAAATCTAGTGCTTTTCTTTACAAGATTCACTAATGATTTTCTGCCAAATCTCCATGGCTCCAAAAGGTGAGCATTTGTTAGTATGAGACCCTTTGGGTTGAGTACAATTCCAGAAGCCCAAGTCCCATCACCTACTGTAACAAGAGCAACAGAAGACATAGCTTTTCTGAGTGAAGGGACGAGGTTAGGAAAATCAGAACCTTCAGGTAAACATCTGATGGGCCCCCTGGAATTAGCAAGGTTCAGAAGTACCCTCCTTTCTTTGTTGATGTACCTGCCTGCCACTTCTTGTTGGACATTTTGAGGTTCGTTCTGCAGCCCATTTCCCCAGGCAGTTGCTATTACATTCCATGTAATTACAAGCTGTACCCAGAAACACGATTTGCAAAATTCTCCAAGGACTATTGAAGTGAAATATTTTAAAAACCTTTTACCTGAATTTCTGCATTGCTGCTTTTTTGTCTCAATGGACTTGTCAGCATGCCAACAAGACATGCATGTCTATCGAAAACAGGACCACCTTCCATTCCTGATTCAGCAGATGTCAAACTTGACTATTATAGTGTTTCCATATAAAGTACATCAACAAGAAGTCCTCATTACTATGAAAAGTAGACATAAATATATATTCCCATTAACATACCAGGAAGACAACGAATATCAGCAAGTAGTAATGAGTTTTTAACAGAACCAGCAGAACAACAATTTGCCACAACTCCAGAAGATATGCTGATTAAAAAAGAAGAATCTATTTGAAAATTCAATCAGCAATAAGAGACTGGTCAGAAAGCAGCAATAAGAATCTCATCATAATCGATTATATTTTTTGTTTTTTCTCTACGTATGTCACAAAATAAGCTTCCTAGGTTGTGTTGATAATCACTCAATAACCCATACAGACAACTCATATTGATGCCATCCTGTCCTGTGATATCATGTCTTTTAAGTATCATATAATATTTCCAACAAAATGGATTTTCCGAGAACTACCTACACGGTTATTTTCCTAGGGGAAAGTTGATAAGTGAAGTTTTATAAATCACTGGAAACAACTAATTGATAGAATTTTGATTTGCTACCAAGGGAAAGTGAAAATCAGTTATTCTGTTAAATTGCATAACACCATTACCTGTTGAGAAAGTGCGACGGTGACAGGATTCCAAAAGGAGAACCCATAACTATAAGCAGATCTCCTCTTTGTTGAACTTCAGAAATATCTACATGCAGCATGTTCTGAAAACCATTAGAAATAGTTATGCTCAGGAGTATTTTTACCTGATTGTATTGGCAATCCAGAACTAGAAAATGCTGAAGTCAAGAAGATTCATTTTTCTTCACTATGAAATTTAACAAGTTGTTAAACATTAAAGGATTGGCAGCAAAAAAGGTCTACCTTGAGTTCTACTTTTGGAATTCCAAGAATCGCAATTCTTGTGGCTGACTCGATCATCTGCGAGAGAGTAATTAAACTATCAGATGAATATTTAGTCTAAGACTCAAGAAAAATCTGATGTATTTTTCAACCTAGCAAAGATCATTGCCACCCATTTGGAGTTGAATACAAACATCATTTTTTCTAGAACAGAAACAAAATTTTCAAGCAAGAAACAAACACCAGCTTCATGCCTTAGAAATACATGAAAGAAATTATTAACTCCAGACTCATTTTAGGGAAAGAGAAATGGCTTATTGAATCTACTATTTTCATTTCAGATGCAAGCTGAAGATTTTGTTTCTAGATTGATAAGTAACAACATCGATGGCATTAATAACAACATTCATCCATAATGTCGCAACTATCCAGTGTCGGCCACAAAAAATCTTTTTCCATCACTGAGCTCTGTACTAACATCTATGCAGTCACTAACAAAATCTGCAAGATTTTTCAATAGCAAAATGTACTCAGTTACATTACATTGTAGCAAATTACATTACACCATTACTTGCACAAAGGAATGATACTTAACCTATGTAAACTTAAAGGATTATTTTATAATGAACCCCAGAATATTATTACAACACATCAAATAAGGAATTGAAAGATGTTATTAGACACTGATCTACAATGGATCATATAAGATGAGATACCTCCCCTTTTCCCTCCCTCAAAATAGTAGAAATTTGCTTGTGTTGAAATAGAACCACTGAGTTATATGATGTAATTGTTAGAGAATACCAGCATGTGGTGTCAACAGATTACTTGTAGTGTTATTATAAATTAGATATTTTTTGTTCAATCTTGATTGTCAACAATTCTGTCTTGTCTAGGAAATTATTATTTTCAGTCATATTGTTTCATAAAAGGTCTACAGTGCCAAATGAATGCTACTGCAGCTGGCAATTTACCTACAGAAACATTTTAACCATAGTCCCTTAGACATTGCTTTGTAATGTTTCAACTTTATTTGTATAAAAAGTGACTACAAGGAGGCTCTGAGTTATCAAGTTGCATATTACAACTACTCGAAATGACTTGCCTACTTTTGATATGGGGCCAATCTCAAGTACGATTTCAAGTGAATGTGCCAAATTATATATGTGCAGTAGGAGTTTTACATAGGACCAAGAGAAGTATGAGGACATGCAATCTAGTTCTTTCTTATGTGCTCTTCTATTTCTAAATCATACACAAGCTAACATGTAGGATTGATAATGAAATAGTCCAGAGCCAGGCTATCCAAGTTTGGACTCAGCCCATTACAGTTTAAAGGTCATCCAGAACTGGATCTAGCCTGGTTCCACAATAGCCCAGATTCGCTTATAATGGCTATCCTCCAAGGACATTGTCAGTATAACTTGGAGCTGTAATCCATTGAGTCACAAATTTATTCAATCTTGATCTGGCCATGACATGTAGTTAAAGGCACTTTCTTTTATGATGTTATTTATAAGTTTTCTGAAGGTACATTTCAAAAAGTTTAGTGCGTAAATTTGAAGTTTCATGACTTCCTAAAAATCAGATACTTTTAAGAGGGCCTTCGAGAAACTCTAAGAGATGGACCCATTAAAATTGGCATGGCCACCATATTTGCCAATTTATACATCCTCATCAACGCTTGGCACATAGAACTCACACCTTCCAATCTATCAAGGAATCCTTATGAAGTTACAATTGGTAATGACAACCAATGAAAATTTTACCTATGTGATGGAATGCCTTTTGTCTTACCTAAGGTAGTCTATGCAGAAAACTCACTATAATGAAATTCATCAAAACTAATTGTAATAATTCATCAAAATTCATTAAAATGAAATTCATTTAGCCAGGTTCACCCAGATTGAGTTAGCGTGTTCCTTCATTGACAGTGATCTTTTACATGCAAAGTTGCAACTTTTATAACCATCAAATGAATAGATTTGTAGGTGTGAGATCTTCTCTCATATTTTGAAGCACGAATTTAAGTTAAATACTTCAACTAAGACATGAAATTTCAAGCTTAAAAGAAACAAATAACTTGTTAATAAACCACATTTACCCCTGCCTGAGTGTCACCTTCCCTAGCCGCCAAGGACCAACCCACTTCCCATGAAGAACTTTCTTGCAAGCCACTGTCACCTCCAAGCAATGATAGAAGAGCAACAGAAGATGCAGTAACATCGACCTGGTGCAAATTGGAAAATTCTGAAATGAGAAAGCTGTATGGAACTTGTACAGACTATGTAGAATTCTGTGAACAAGAAAGCACTTAAGCCAAAAGAAACATCAATGATGACTTAGCTTCAAACTGTGATTTTCACTAGCAAAAGGTTGATATGACAGCATGGAAGAATATCTCAATAGGAGTTCTAGACTAAATATGATCATGATATTAGCTTGCGTATATGTCGAGATATATTGCAGTACAGACAAAATATTGTTGATAATACAACAAAGTGATTGTTCAAAATGTCAAGAAGGCAAGCAACGGTGATTGAGACAGATGCTACTTTGGAGTATTGAGGATAATATACATTTTCCGAGCAAACACTCAACAATACAGGGGATGACAGAATATCTCTGATGTTCAGGGAATAAGCTGCTTGTTTAGTTCTTGACTTCTCTCGAGTTTCCAACTCATAAAAAGAAGACCTATGTTACAGGTTGCAGTTTCAGCTCACAAAATTGAGAAGCTACCTTCTGAGGCTTTTGATATACTTGAGCTAGGATGAGGCACAAATAAATTCAATGGAATAGAATCCATCAAACGAAAAATATAATACCTGGAGAAGCAAAGCCACATTCTTACTCTTTTGAGCACATCAAACAAGTGTCAGTCGAGAAGGCATAAAGTTCGACCTTTGATTTTAGTAATGGGGAACTAATGTCCTCCACAAGGGTTTCTCGCCTTAGCATGTATCTAGTCCAACAGGGTTCAAGATCAAGATACAGAGGATCGCCTTCAATGAGTTTATGTTACGGACCTTAATGTTATAGTCCTTTATTTCATATCCGCACCAGAACATAAGCTATTTTGTCTCAATATATTGCGGCTGATATATAGAAAAGTGTATTTGTAATCAACTATTTTCTTTATCAAACATGAAAAGCATGAGATACCAGTCCCATGAAAACAAAATCTCACATGAAAAGTACATTGAGTAAACCTATACAAAACATGAAGAGGCACCTCAGAACATCAAATTTATCACTATTTGCATGTGCCATGAAACACTAACAGCAGAAAAAAGGTCTACCAATGCCATAAGTTTACAGTTACTCCAGCGAGGAATGGTAGCAGCCCCATTGCTGCTTGTTCCCTCCTCCTTGCCCTGCAAAGCAGAAGCCATTATCAAAGTCTACAATATTACAAAATTCGTATTATCTTCAAGAAGAAATACAAGAAGCAGATTTTCTACTGCTGATCCTCTACCAACTCAGGCAACCAGTTCAACGTTCCATAAATGGTTCGTCGACCTGCATACCTCTATGAGAACATCAATACGAGCAGCTGGAATCAATTTTGGTGAAAATTCCTGAAAACGAAAAAAAGACAGTTTTGTGAATATTGCTGAAAAAAGATATCCACTGATTTGAACAAATTAAAATAAAAAAACAAAGAGACCAAAAGACAAGAGAATCGACTCCTTTCTGGTAATAAAAGAAGGTTCCTAAGCAGTAACCTGGGCGGTCTTGTTTCTGTATTCCGCAGTCAGAAAGGGCTCCACCACCGAAGCAGGGGTGACGACGAGATCGCCAGAGTGACGATGAATGCCACACACATGATCGAAGATGGGTGGCCGATCGCTAAGGCAACCGTCAGGTAACAAAATCCCCGAGGCTGAAAGGGTTGTGCTCCCGGTCCTGAATTCCAATCATCGGCAATCATCAATCTAAAAATAACTCAAAATAACACAATAGAATGCCAAAATTAAGGCATTCGGGTCCAATAAATATCCCAGAAGACGAAAATGAAAGCTTCAAAAGTACGATTAACTGATGGAGGTGGAAAGCGTGGTTGCGCATCTTGAGGCCCTTGGGGTCCTGAAGGATGAACCAAAGGAAGTCGACGAAGTCAGATTTCAGAGTTCACGGGATTGACGACGGAGTAAAGAGGAAGAGGAAGAAGAAGAAGAAGAAAGAGAGAAGGAGGAGCAACTCACGGGGCCTTGCGAACGGACCAAGACCGAGAAGTTGCGGGCGAATTGGGCGACGTCCGGCAACGACTCCATCGACTCCGTACGAACCGAGGATCGAGCCGCGAAGAGCGAGGTGAATCGGTGAGACGCACAAGTCTTAAATGGGGGATCCGCTCGTTATGGGCCGAGATGGCGGATGATGTCCCAACAAGGCCCGTTTGGCTCAAGGTCTGCATCACGATTCGCGCCAGCGATGAGAGCCATCCAAGAAGATCTCTAACATCTTGGAGAAACTCGTATGAGTTCATAGAAGCTGGGTGAGACGTAATCAGCGTTGTCCTTTACACATTGTATCAAATACAATATATCATACAATATAACCTTTTTAAGAGGTTTCAAAGAAAAAGATATGAGCAAAAATACTCACGAAAAATACGAGACACGTTCGGCATGAAAGAAATCTGCTGGATGAGAGACTGTTTGGAGGAACTACTACTCCCGTAACTCTCGTAGCATCAGCTGAGAAGCTTAAAAGGAAAAGTAAAGATGCAAATAAACAACCATCAAAAGCAAATCAGAAAAAGGATGTCTATGATGATTCAGTATATAATCCAAATACAACAACATAGCCTAGCAATAATACGAACAGGATGTCCTAAAGCTGCTTATCTGCTATTATTCAAAAACCACTAGTTAAAAGGCAAGATGCAGCACCTACCATTACTTGTTCATCATCATCATCTGGCATTCGCCATTTGTAGGGCTAAAGCAGCTAAACTTAGCTGCCACCACCGGACCCATACTTCTGTCCTAGGACGATCACTTGGAGCTTGTCATAACCGTAGGATATTTGCACCGGCACCCTTGAAGAGGGATTTCACACCCTCATTCTTTATTATCTGCGAGAAGGCATCTAATGAGCTGCGGTACTTGACAGCTTCACCCGATGTCATCATCATCCTCCTACAGACAGTGTCTATTGGGTAGGAAGCAAGACCAGCACCGATTGTAATTCCCCATCCAAGCAAGAACCTTGCCAAGAAATTGTCCTGAATGACAAACATATTATAAGAGTAGAGAAAGTAGAGCAAGCGGATAAGAGACATATAATAACATAAACAGACACATGATGGTATTTCTATAATCTGCCAAGAAATTGCATAGCACACTTCTTATCATGCATTTTATGTCTGACAGCAATAATTGGATTCAGTATATGTTTTAGCATCGTCTTTCATGACTAACCTGCAAGGGGCCAACCAGCACGACTGGCTTTAAAGAATCATACAGTCCAAAGTAGAGCCCTCGATAAACAAAGATACCGACACATGAGATGTTGAAGCCCCGGTATAGTCCCACAACACCATCAGATTGTACAGTTTTCCTGTAAACATCAACCAGGCCATTGAACTAACTGTCTTTCACCTCCCTTCTTGGCAGCCTTGGCATCATTAGCTAGCTAATCGGGTCCTGGCATAATCAAGGGAGTATACAAAGAGATGGGAAGACGCACCAGCTGCACCTCCAGAAGCTAAATTACCAGCAAACCATTTCCAATATCTATCTTCATACGCTTGAAGTAATCCTTAAACGCAAAGTTCAGTGCCTGATGTATAAAGAGCATATAACTGTCAGACACTGCGAAGCAAAACCAAAATGCAAAAGGAATAGAAGAGAAGGTTCGACCTGGGCAGGAAAATAACAAAGAAGATTTGCGGTGTTCCCTCGCCACAATGAGAGGAAATCTTCATCCTTGATTGTTCGAGAAAAAGACTCTGTAATTCCCTTATATGGTTCTGAGAGTCGACCAGCTTTAATCATCTCATCTTGGTTCTGAATCAGGAGTTTCACGCGCTCGATCGGAGTAGCTGCCGTTTTAGAAATGGCAGCAGAAACACCACCCATGAGAAAATCTATAAGAAATCCTGTAGAACCTTTTTCCTTAGGTGCACAAGCAGAGACAGGGGTGATGGGTGTCATGGATGAGAGACCAATAGTCCCATGACAGTCCTCATATGATTTAAGAAGTGCACTCTGCAAGTGGTAAGTCCCAAGTAAATTGTGGATGATGATGGTATTTCTGGCTTGTGAATGAGGATGCTGCCCATGGAAAAAGATCAATTGCCCATGTATCTTTTGTATGATACATGGATGGAGTAATTCATCTGCCATTCTGCTACATGAAATTATCAGTAGAGATTTATCAGCTAACAACATAAGAATGCTAATTATAAAAATTAGGCTGGATGTCCAAGAGGAAATTCATATCTTAGGTAGCACCAAAAATTTGACAAAAGTATATACGACATACATAAATAGTTGTTTTTCCTTACAAGTACTAAATGCTTAGTATGAATAACACAGTCTCTGGAAGTTGTTTGGATCCAGATAAGGCAGACAAAAGCAATTACCTAAGGAACCTATGGAGTTGACAAATGTATACTAATCAGACTTTTTCCACAGGATTCAGTTTCAGCATACATAATGAAAACAATTTTCATGTATACCTTGCACAGGTTGCCTAAGATTTTCAGTCTTATAACAAACAAAATTAACAATCTTGACAAGATACTCAATCATATTTTCTCTTACATTTAACTTACTAGATTTATGCCTTTAATTTTTTTTCTTCTTTAAAAAAATATGAACTTTGCACCATCATACTTCCTATACTCCATGTCAAGCACTTCAAAATTCTAACATCTAAATTACCCTTCTGCAATTCAAAAGCATAGCCACAAATGATCCCAAGTTTGACTTCTAAATGCATTAAGAAGCAACTTGATGAAATAAAAAAACTTTTACACATTATCAAGGAAAACTTTTCATCCACTTAAAGTTACTAATTAGAGTACATCATTTGAAAGTGCTGGTAAATGTTTGATTTCTTACCTTTGACTCAAGAAAAGGACAAGAAATGAATTTATAATGTTAAATTTTAGACTACTGAGATAGTTCTTCTCGTACCAAATGTCAGAAAACACTACATGAGTGTTGCCATTTGCTAGCTGAATAAACTGTAGAAAATGGACCAACAAAATGCAACCTTAAATAATAATGACAATTAGTAAACGGTAAAAACTAACATAAGTAACATTCTTTCAAATGAATACTGCAAATACCCAATAACTGTAACGTATTCAACCTCATCTACTAGGCTGGATTTGAACACGGGTTGAAAGTTCAAACTCTACACTTGATGTTAGTGTATCTTCTGCCACTTGTTAGTTCCAATAAGACTACAAATTAGGGGATTTCATCGCTTGTCGTTAAGAGTGGCTTAGGAAATTTGCGGTCACTCTTTCAGCTTCCATTTACGTGCTTTGAATTCCCAATTATCGTCAAACTAAGATCTATGTGACTAACCTGAAGCATGGAAGTCAAGTTCAAAGCAATTCCATGCGTTGATTAGTATCTAAATCCTACTACAAGTTAGCACAAAGATCCATATAAAACAAGTGAAGACAGCATGAAGAAGGCTTCACGTATCATCTGACAGGATTACAACGACAGCTATCAGATCTACACCAAAACGAAGCGTCACACCGCAAGCAGTGACGGGATCGGCGGGACAAAGAGTCCGCTACACATCACAAGTCGCTCTCGCCAGAACAGTCGATCAGATCAAGTGATATACCGAAAAGACAAGGAAATATTCAAGAGGAAGATGTCACCTAGGATGGGGACGAGAGAAGGGGCGACGACGGCAGCACTCCTCGTTGTTCCGAAGTGTCTGGGGGAGACGAAGCGTTGAAGAGGCGACGGATGGGTAGACATGGTCGAACCCTACTACTCTTGCTAGCAATTGTTGGCGGGGACTCGTTGTACTGTGAAATGACCATTATGCCCTCGGTCTCGGAGCCTAACCTCTTCCGGTGTTCTCCCGGTGCTCATTGTGACGTCGGCCCGGCGGCCTATCTCTTATGATATTACTTATATGCCCCCGGTTTCAGTAGCTGATCCGCTATCGTTAGCTCGTATAAAATGACTATTGTACCCTTAGCCTGAGAGACTAATTCCTTCACGTTTGCCGCTTTCCGGGATGATGTCAGGTTCAGTCTCTTGTTCTACGGACGATCACGACCAGGATGGCACGTATCAAATTTGGAACGTTGGATCATGTAACGACGTTTAAATTGATGATTGATTTAAAGAACAATCGACAAATGCTTTTATAGCTAAATACGATAACAAGATTTTACTCCTCTTTGTACATCGATCAATTTAATATTAATAATAATAAAATAAATGTATGACTTATAATCGATCGAGATGATCATAACGTAAAATATCCTTCCAGTATGGTTGGTTGCAATGTCATTTCTCAAATGCTACAATGATGCAACACAGGAAGGAACAAGAAAACATAAACATCAACCTGGCAATCTCATATATAGGATCGAAGCAAATTAAGCAAGCTCAGTCTAGATTTCATGTGACCAGATAAACATCTGTAGACCATAAGCTTAGCCATTTTAGTGCTAATAGTAACAGAAAGAAAAACTAGCATGTAGGAGGTGGAGCAGATGAAAAGAGACTTTTGGATAACAAGTCCAAGAAGGGTTGAGATATATTCTGCTTTCTTGTCTAAGAGATATGGGAGAGAGCACATTTATTTACAACCTATTTTTGGCCAAAACTGACTCAGTTTACTTCACCATTCTTTTGAAACTTAGGAGCAGATGCAGCGGAAAGAGATTATAAATTTAAGACATCATCCATCAGAGCCAGCAGCATGAAGCCACGAGACAACTTGATCTATCGATGGCCTGTTCCGCGGATCTGGGCTGATGCACCTGCAAGCAGTCTCCAGCACTGATAAGAGCTGCTTTTCGTGGGCCTTGTTCCAAATTACTGTATCGAACATCTGCTCTTCCTTCTTCTCTGATTTCATCTGAAGCACCCACGAAACCAAATCTCTGCAACCTTTCGCCTTGGAAATATCCACAGGCCTTCTACCGGTGAGAAGCTCCAATAGAACGACTCCGAAGCTGAAGATATCACCCTTCAGAGTAGCCGTCAATGTTTGGCTGTACTCAGGAGGAATGTACCCTAAGGTTCCAACCAGGTCAGTGGTGACATGAGTTTTGTAGGGATCGATAAGCCTCGCCAGGCCGAAATCTGCCAGATGGGCTTCGAATCTATCATCCAGCAAAATGTTGCTTGATTTAACATCTCGGTGGATGATGTTGGGCTCACAGATCTTGTGCAAGTAAGCCAATCCCCTTGCTGATCCCTGGGCAATCTTCAACCTGACCTCCCACTTGAGTA